ACCACAGGATCAACTATCCTCTAAACCTACGTGCAGTGACTACCTGCAAATGTTCTGCAATACTCATACTCGTCAGCCATCTCAGCTCCTCACTTAAGTACTTGTATCTTGTATTGCCTCCCCCACGTCCACTTGCTTCAAAATTGTTTGTTGTATTAATATGTATATACTGTTAATGTTTAGGTTAAGTTTGGTTAAGGGTAGTTTATAAGCTGAATATTTTGTTAAGGGATTTATGTTACTTTATTATACACAACGAAAACTCGCATCCTTTGTCTACCCTTTTATAGTCCGATTGTCTTTGTTTTTTGTTTTTTGTTACCTGTTGGGATCTGGGTAGACGTATAACTATATTCTAAATCCCCAACTCGTAACATCTTTGCTTTCTAAACTTCCCTCTTATGGTTTCTCTCCCAGCTTTGTTCTCTAATTTCTAGCTTCCTTGAGAACCGATCCATGGCAGTTGTAGTAGAGGGATCGATCTCTAGCTCCTTCTCTACCAATTGTAGTGTCCCACAAGGTTCTGTTCTTTCACCTACTCTATTACTTCTTTTTATCAATTATATACTTCACAATACGATTAATTATTACGATTTTTACTCTGATGATTCTACTCTTCACTCTTCTTCACATTTTTCCCTTCACCCTAATTCTCAAACTAGATCTGCTTCTAGAGCTGATATCATTACATCTATGAATGCGGATTTCTGCAGCATCTCCGAATGGGGAGGTAGAAACTTGGTTAAATTCAATAGTAATAAAACACAGTATTTTCCAATCATACTTTCCAAATTATATGATCTCCTACCGATTACATTTCAGGACGCTATCATTCTGCCAAATTCTAAAATAGATACGCTGGGCCTCACCATTTCCTCTAATATGTCATGAAAGCCACACATCCACAACATTGCTAAAGCTGCCTCCCGAAAAGATGGGAATGCTGTACAGATGCCGTAGCTACTTCACCCCTGAGCAGTTGCTTCAAGTATATAAGGGATTCATTCGTCTTAACTTGGATTACTGCTCTCATATCTTGGGTGGCTCTTCTTCTGTCCAACTGTTAGATAGGGTGGAATTAAAGGCATTTCGTCTTCTTAACTCTCCTCCTTTAGTTGACAATCTTTCTTCCCTTTCTCTTCGCCACAATGTTGCTTCACTTTTTTTTACTGCCAGCAAGGCCGTGGGCTCGTAACACTCTTCCTGCCCGCGGTGCCCACCATTTCTCTATGGATGTCGGTCAAACTATAATAACCCGTAATAGTACACTCGCACCAAAAAGTATCGGTGCAGGGCGAGATCGACGAGTTCCGAAACGATACGTATACACTATGATATGTCGGGAAGGTTGGTAAGTGTATCCTCATACCCCCCCGCCCACCTCCACTAGGTGTTGCCATATGGCTGACAATCAGTGTGTTTGTTTCCTCTTTTCGGATTGTTGCTTTGTGTAGACTGAATGATGAGCGAGGGTTCGGTTTCTGTGAACGTGGGTATAAAACAGAGGCAATATGAAGCAGTAGAGATCTACACATGCCAGACGACATGGAAACCTCAGAGGGAACACTAGGAGCTATCATTGCCCTTCATAACGAAGGGTTCAGCATCACAGATATTAGCCGGCGGATTGGTGTCCACAGGAACACCGCTGCACGATGGATTCGGCGATACCTCGAAACTGGTGCTACAGACGACAGGTCTCGGAGCGGCCGTCCACGCTGCACCACCCCTCAGGACGACCAGGTTGAGTGGTTTATTTGGTAGCATAAATTAATGTGGCAATATAAACAAGTATCACAAATAATTTTGTTAACAGGGAGCTCCTCATATTTCATACTGTCTATTTATCACTTCCCGACCTTATTTATAACGGTTTGTTTCACTTGACCAGGCCATAGTAGCAGGATTACAGGGCTGCCAAGACGGCTGGAACAACTCGCCTTTCCCAATACCTATCGTCACTGGTCTCAAATTGTTCACACTACAGTATGCACCGGTACTTTTTGTTGCGAGTGTACATCCTTCTTTCCTTACACAGCCAAACTGTGGAATGCTTTGCCTTCTTCTGTGTTTCCATACTCATACAATCTGTCTCACTATAAAAAACTTTTTTTTCCGGCATCTTCGTGGTGTAGATTAATATAATAATTTTTCTTTTCTATTTTAATTTCTTTTTAATCGTAATTCCCCCCCCCCCTCCCCCCCCCCAGGCCCGTTGTGGGTCGATGACATGTGCCAGGGTGGGCTATTCTCCATAAAAAAAGCCTTAGGTATTATGCTTTAATTGTATTATATTCTAATTGAATTATTATAATTATTACAATGATTAAGATAATTCTTGCATTGTACCAATGTTATAACAATGTTACAAATTTCTGTAAGACCCCAAACGGATGGCAAAGTGAGGGTGGGAGTAATACACTAACCTGTCCTTTGATGTTATAGTTGTCAATAAAATATTACAATTTCATTTTCAATTCCCGGAGCTGGTCTGGTCGGGTGAGTAATCAGTGTATTTGCGTGCACCGCCCAGGAGAAGACTTCTTCCCCCTGTTGTTGTTTTAAGTGGATTTTAGTGCAAATGTTATCTATGGATTGTACATTATTATTGGCCTAGTTTATTATTGATTTCACTTTGTTTTGGTTTTAAGGACTCTAGTCTACCAAAGGGCCGGGCAGAGAGGCGTCCTTAGGTTGGATGAGTGACTCGAAGTCTGCTTCACACTCCACTGCTGTGCCCATCTATCGTGAATCCCACCGCTGCCACCACCTACCCCCTCAAGGCTCAGGAGACGTCATTGCTAGCTTTCCACCTCTCTAAGGCAGGTAGACTTCATCTCCATAATTTACTGTTGAGTGTTAGTCTGTACAGTTCATGATCAGTTCAGTAAGCCAGTGTTGTGGGGTATCGTTTGGGTATTCCGGTGTTACTGTTTACGTTGCTTATTTCAGCTCGGTTGGATTTTATCTTTTGTTTTGATTGTACTAATAAATTCATGAAGATTTTGAATTCATTTCAATTCTAGTAACTTGACGACATTCTTTAGCCCAAAAGAATCTAATATTCACGGTTACCATCAAACTTAAATCATTGTGGTATTAGACGACAAGCTAAAATGGTTCGTGTCTTACTAAACATTCAAGATGGAGTTTATTGACTTAATATTTATTAATAGTTACAGGGTGTCCCCTAAGGCTTCACCCTTGTCCCAGTTTTTTTTTTTTTTTTACAAATTATAAATAAACTTTACCTATGGAAGACATATTTTTATCTCCAATGAAAATACAGTTCACAAACTGGTAAACAAAACCATAAATTCTTCATGGATTATTGCTGAGGATTACTACACTCAGATTATTCAGATTAAAAGAAAAAAAAATATGAACCACTTTAAGTAATTTTCCAAACACAACAGGACAGATTGTAAACAAATCTTTGTTCATTTAAAAATGACAAGGGCTCCCAAAAAATTTATTAAGGATTTTACATGAAGCTTCCAAAGGATTTATTAAGGGTTAGGAAAGAGCTTCACAAGAGTTTCATAAAGGTTTATTAAGGAATTCAGAAGAGCTTCATAAAGCTTCAGTAAGGGCTTCACAAGAGTAAATACAAGACCACATTAAAAATCTCCCAGGATGCACTTAAGGATTTCCCTAGGACTTGTCTACAGACTTCTCAGTGACCTACAGATGACTCCAGGACCTCTGAGGAATCGCATAAGACCTATCAAGGACCACATAGGATCTCCAAAGGACCTCAGAGAACCTCACAAGGACCTCATAGCTTAGCAGCCGGGGTCTCAAAGTCCTTCTTCAACTGTCTCCTGAGAATCTTCCCTGTGGAGTTCCTTGGGATGGAGTCGACCACTTTGATGCCGCCTGCCAACTGCTTGTAGGGGGCGACTCGAGCTGTGGGAGTCATGGTGGGTTACTGTGGGAGTCATGGTGGGTTACTGTGGGAGTCATGGTGGGTCACTGTGGGGGTCATAGTGTGGGAATTATGGTGGGTCACTGTGGGAGTCATGGTAGGTTACTTTAAGACTCATGGTGGGTCACCTTTGGAGTTATATTGGGTCACTGTGAGAGTCATGGTGGGTTACTCTGGGCGTCATGGTGGGACACTGTGGGAGTTATGGTGGGTCACTGTGTGAGTCATAGTGGGTCACCGTGGGAGTCATGGTGGGTCATTGTGGGAGTCATGGTGGGTCACTGTGGGATTCATGGTGGTTCACCGTGGGAGTTATGGTGGGTCACTGTGAGAGATATGGTGGGTATCTGTAGGACTCATGGTGGGTCACTGTGGGAGTTAAGGTGGGTTTCTGTGGGAGTTATGGTGGATCACTGTGGGAGTTAAGGTGGGTTACTGTGGGAGTCATGGTGGATCCCCGTGGGAGTTATGGTGGATCACTGTGGGAGTTATGGTGGGTCACTGTGGGAGTCATGGTGGGTCACTGTGGGAGTTATGGTGGATCACTGTGGGAGTTATGGTGGGTTACTGTGCGAGTCATGGCGGTTTTCCTCAGGAGTCATGGTGCGTCACTGTGGGAGTCATGGTGCTTCACTCTGGGAGCTAAGGTGGGTTTCTGTGGGGTGTCATGGTGATTCACTCTGGGAGTCACGGTGGTTCACTGTGGGAGTCATGGTGGGTCACTGTGGGAGTTATGGTGGGTATGTGTAGGACTCACGGTGGGTCGCTGTGTGAGTTATGGTGGGTTACTGTGGGAGTCATGGTGGGTCACTGTGGGAGTTATGGTGGGTCTGTAAGTCATAATTGTAAGGTCACTGTGGGAGTTATAATTGGTCACTGTGGGGTATGTTGGTTCACTGTGGGAGTCATGTGGTGGAGTCTCCGTGGGAGTCATAATTGAGTCACTGTGGGAGTTATAGTGGGTTACTGTGGGGTCATGGTGGGTCACTGTAGAGTCATAATTGGGTCACTGTGGGAGTTATAGTGGTCACCGTGGGAGTTATCGTGGGTCACTGTAGGAGTTACGGTTGGTCACCATTAGAGTCATGGTGGGTCACTGTGGGAGTTATGGTGAATCACTGGGAGTTAGGTGGAGTCTGCGTGGGAGTTATGGTGAATCACTGTGGGAGTTATAGTGGTCACTGTGGGGATATGGTGGGAGGTTACTGTGTGAGTCATGGTGGTTACTTTAGGACTCGTGGTGGGTCACCGTTGGAGTTATGGTGGGTCACTGTGCGAGTCATGGTGGGTCACTGTGGGGTTATGTTGGAGTCACTGTGGGAGTCATGGTGGAGTCCCCGTGGGAGTTATGGTGGAGTTACTGTGGGAGTTATGGTGGGTCCCCGTGGGTGTTATGGTGGATCACTGTGGAAGTTATGTTGGGTCACTGTGGGAGTTATGGTGGGTTAAGGTGGGAGTTATGGTGGGTCACTGTGGGAGTCATAGTGCGTCACTGTGGGAGCTATGGTGGGTCACTGTGGGAGTTATGGTGGGTTACTGTGGGAGTTATGGTGGGTCACTGTGGGAGTTATGGTGGGTTACTGTGGGAGTTATGGTGGGTCACTGTGGGAGTTATGGTGGGTTACTGTGGGAGTTATGGTGGGTCACTATCATAGATTTAGACTACCGAGTGTAATATATGATACATGTAATAATATGTACTATATGTAATGTGTGTGGATGGTAACACATGTGGCATATAGAGGCACTAACATGTATATTATATGTAGATGATAAATGTGTAGTAATGAGGGTGATAACATGTGTATTATATGTAGGTGATAACGTTTGTAGTTTATGTAGTATAGAACACGTGTAAGGAGTATTGACCCACCAGCGACGAACTGCTGTAGGTGTGGCAGGTGTAGGACAGTGCCTGATGTAGGCACCACGTAGGCCCGTGGCGCCTCGCCCATCTTACGGTGAGGGACGCCCACCACCGCCGCCTCCTCCACACCCTCGTACTGCAACAACACTTTCTCCAGCTCAGCGGGGGACACCTGTACAACGAAAGAGAGTAAGCGACAGCCGGGTCTCCACTATCGCCTTGTTGTATTAGTCGTTAATGTGATCTTGAAACAATAATACGTGTTATTAGAACATTTTAAGACGTTGTTTTGATCCATTTGAAGCTGAACATTGCCTCGGTCACACTGAACATATCAGAACATCTTCATATCATCAGCTAAAAGGAACATACAGTTAGCTATTAATGTTTATTACAACTATGATGGGGTCTAACTCACTCCCTTGAGGGATACCACTTACACAGTAGCCCAGGTGGACGGATCTGAGCCATAAACAACAATGCTGTGTTTTCTCTGAAGCAAGAGAAATAAGATCCATTGTTGTGTTGACATGACAATACTAAACTTGTTGAGCTGACCAAGCTAGCACAGGTGTTGAAGTCTGTCGTATTTTTCATCAAGTGCATGAAAATTATGTCTGGTGTTCCTCTCGTGTCCTACATCCCCGTGTAAGTGTGTCACACATTCACTAGATGTAGTGACGATTTGTACTATGGGAGTAGGTGAGCCCCTCACTGGGCCTAGACTGTACTGTGTGTACTCTGGGTGAGTGGGCCTCCCTCTGTACCTAGACTGGATGTACTATGGGAGTGAGTGGGTCTTCCCCTGGACAAATAATGTGAGCTACAATCGTCCGACGGACTTGAGTCTTGGAGATGAACACTGGGACCATCATGGCTCAAACTTTGTATGCCAGTGTGAACAACAAAGCCGCAAATACATCTGTGTATCTGGTATTGTGTGGTAACTGTGCACCTGGTGTTGCTAGGTACGTGTTCGTGTGATATATTATCTTTCAACATCTACATAAATCGGTTCACTTGGTATTAACTACCATAAAAACTTACGTTAACAAGGCTATTTTAGGGTTAACTTAGATTAGGCTAGATTAGGTTAAATTAGTTAAGGTTAAGTGAGATGAGTTTACGAAGAGATTAGATTCGAAAAAATTTGGTGAGGTTATGTTATGTTAGGTAAGGGTTGGTTAATAGGTTAAATTTGTTACGTTATGTTTTTGTTAGATTGCTTGTCTAATAAAGGGAAAGAAAATCAGCAGTAAGTGTACAGTAGTCTGTTCTACGCTAACAGTTCAACTCTCACCTGGTATCCCTTGACTTTAATAAGGTCCTTAATCCTGCCGGTGAGGTAGACGAAGTTGTCTTGGTCATAGTAGCCAACGTCGCCTGTGTGGAGCCAGCCGTAGGGGTCGAGAGTTGAGGCTGTGGCTGTGGGATTGTTGGCGTAGCCCAGCATGATACTTGGCCCTCGCACACATACCTCCCCCTCCTGTCTCTCACCCACCATCCTTCCAGTCCTTACATCCACAAACTGAGTGAGGAGAGTGATCTTAACGTCACCTGTACTGAAATAAGTTTATTAAATACATTTAATTTGTGTAAATGTGTGGGTGACCGTGTGTGCGTGTGTGTGGGTATGACTGTTGGTACACACTGGGAAACAAATGCTCATTTATAGTGAAGTACAATGACATTGATCTTATAGTCTTATACTATTTGGAAAAATTGATAGCAATTATCATACATGTTATGGGAACAATAAGAGATATCAAGAAATAAAAAGTTGTATCTCATAATTTTAGTTGTTGTTGGTTAGTGTAATTAGTAAACTAGTTATGAGCCTCACTACCTTAGGTTAGGTGAGAATCTTACCTTAACCTGTATATAAGGCACCACTTTGCCCACAGAGTCAGGGTGGAGGGCAAGGATGTCTGGTGTACCGATGGTCACTGCTGAGAACGACTCTGTCATACCGTAGGAGTTAACTATTGATCGTCCAGTCTGAGTAACAACGCCAGCATTAGAGTCAAACAATTCAAATGATAACTCAGTATTAATCTAGAGATGTAAGATGTAATTTATGTTAGTAAAAGAAAAAATACTTACGGGACTCTCACTAGATTCCTAATGGCACTGAGGAACTGGTGATTACTAATGATTTTCCGAGTTTTAAACAATTATTATGAACTAAATGATAAATCTATAACAAGTGCAAGACGTATTTATAAAGAATTGTGTTGATATGATCACTGTGGTTACAACAGTCCTAAATGAGAATTGTTCTGACCATTAGGGAAGGTGTGACGGGACAAGGACTTAGCTGGCTCGTCCACTAGAACTTGTCCTATTGAGTCTTCCTCTGGGACTGTCAACGAATTAAGTTTTTGTTTCAATAGTGTCATGAACTTAGGAATCTTGAAGGGAAAGGATGCTATAAAATGTATGGAAGGGAACACACTGTCACTTTCATGTCTACAGAGCCTCAATACCAGCTCATATTGACTAACTTTAAAATAAAACTTTGTATGTTTTTATATTACTGTATCTTGCTGTTCACTGTAGCATTGTTAGTGTTTTTCATAAGAAATCTGGATGATTATCGACAATTATCCGGTACGGTAATCTCGGTAACAATATCTGCCGGTTGCATCATGGCAAGGAAATACTAACAGAATATGGGGGCAGTGTAAGTGACGTCATGGTACAGTAATACCAACATTAGTGTTGTGGACTTAGTGACGCCACATTTTACCGTGCCAGGTGTTAAACTCTATCATATATGACGCAGTTGGTTATGATGCAAGAGTAACATGGGAGAAGTTGTTCAGTGCATTAGAAGGTTCTCCATTGGGTAAAGCCAATTAAAATGCATCAACGCCCCAGGGTCCGATGGAATAGACTACGACCAATAGCCTCCGACATATTCACATACTGGCTGGGTTTGTTAGATTGGTTTTCACCCGATCTTTCATATTCTTTTGGGTACTTGGGGTCTCCTTACTATTTGTATTGGCTTTACACACTAACTTATTCATTCCTTCTCCTGACCTGTTGTTGTAACCTTTGTGCTGTGAGTTAAGCTCTTCTTCCTAAATAAGCAGTGTTCCTGTACTGCTGAATACACATGGAGTCACCTTTCTCACGACGGAGGTGACGGAGTCTGCTGAGATCGGGCCAGCCGCGGAGCCGAAGATCTTGAGAGAAGAGAGGTCGTACTGCTGCCGGAGGGGTGTGTTCACCACCAGGTCAATGAGATGAGGTACGAGGGGCGAGGCTGTCACCTGCACCACGGTGATAAATATTCTTTAAGCTCAACAACAGCCTCACCACAAACACTTTTACTGATGAATTAAGTAAATTATTTAATATCATATGAATCCTTATATTATCTAAAGATGTGTTTCAAATGTAAAATTATAACCAAGAAATAAAAACAAGCACGTGGATGTTTCACTTTAATTAGATTATTACCAACTTCTCATTTTACGCCTTTCAGTTTTGCACACTCGCCTTAAAATCCTGGATGACCTCAAAATACCTCTTGGGTGAGAATTTTGAGAGGAAGATGGTTGTACCACCAGCCAAGAGGCGTCCCATAACTATACCGAAGCCATAGAGATGACACACAGGCAGCACCAACAAGAGACTCTTAAATATCTCCTTTCTCCCCTCACTGGCGCTTGGGTTAACAACACTTTGGTACCTGACAAAAAATTAAAGTAAAAATATCATATGCAATAACTCTCTCTCTCTCTCTCTCTCTCTCTCTCTCTCTCTCTCTCTCTCTCTCTCTCTCATAAAGACACACAGCAAACCCCTGTTAGACATGCACAAACTCTATGCATGGTATAAGAGACAAGGTACAGAGATAGGAATGAATTAGGAAAAGCAGAGAATGAATAAGTCAATTAATGTATGATTCCCACCCTCGTACCAAGGCCGTGCCGCCACATTCAGTCGTTCAAAAATTTCTGTATCTGTATTTAATTCGCTTGGTTGTGTATATAATTAGTTAAGTGTCAAGGAAAAGAGCTTATAATTATATTGTCTATGGGCCATGTTTACTTCTGGGGAGTGTTAGTTACAAGACTAGCGAGGTCATCCTAAAACTGTATCTTGCTATTGTGAGACCACACCTGGATTACGCAGTTCAGTTCTGGTCACCGTATTACAGAATGGATATAGAATCCTTGGAAAGAATTCAGAGGAGAATGACAAGACTAATCCCGGGCATTAGGAACCTTGAGTATAGAGACAGGTTAAAGCATCTTAATTTGCACTCCCTTGAGAGACGTAGAGCGAGGGGCGACCTGATAGAGGTGTATAAATGGAAGGCAGGGCTAAACAAAGGGGACATTACTAAGGTACTCAAACTATCCAACCAGGAGCGAACTCGTAACAATGGTTTTAAATTAGACAAATTTAGATTTAGGCGTGAAACAGGTAAACACTGGTTTGGAAACAGCCAGTGCGCGGTCAGTATTGCATCATACTGGCTGGTGTGGTCCTGGTTACTTGACCGGATAAGGTGTAGCTGACCCAGTAGGGCCGGGTGGGTTTTAGATTAAGTTAGGTCACTTTAGGTTACGTTAGGTTTGGTATTAGTTAACAGTCTTACTGGCTCCTCAGGTGGTTGATGAGTAAGTTACGGTGAGTCACCATGACAGCCTTGGGCAGGCCAGTCGTGCCAGAGGAGGTGGGCAACAGAGCCACAGTCTTGGCCCAGTCCAGCCCCTCAGCCTACCGGGAGCAAAACACATCACGTTACTAAACAAAGATCAACTGAAGATTACATGTCCCAGATTATTTCACCTGAAGATGAACTGAACATAACAAGGGAAGCGAAGTCAAACCCCAAGGGATTTTTCCAAATGTATCAAACCAATACATTGAGATACCGGCGAGCTAACGGAGAATGACAGAGAAATGAGCAATAATCTGAACGGATAATTTAAAAAAAAATTTCACCACCGAAAATTTAAACACGATGGCCGAGGCACCGACCATATACAGAGATAGTGAAGAAAATAGAATAAGTCAGATAGTAGTGACTAGTAACAATGTTAGTAAGAAAAATAGACAAACTAAAGTGGAATAAGTCACCAGGTCCCGATGACATATTTGCCAGATTATTAAAAGAATGTAAGGAAGAGCTTATATCTTAGCAAAGTTGTTTAACATGTCATTAAAAACGGGTAGTGCCAGAATCCTGGAGGATAGCGAATGTGATGTAATGTGGTTTACCTCGACGTCAGCAAACCTTCGACAGAGTCCCCAACGATAGACTACTACGAGAAGTGGAGGCTCATGGAATTGAAGGAGATATTCTAAAATGGATAAGGGCGTGGTTACAGGACAGGAAACAGAGAAGAATTATAAACGGCACTACATACGACTGGGGTGACGTCACTAGTTTGATTGAAACATTGATTGAAATATTTCATTTAGCCAGAAAAACACAGATACAGAGTGGATAATAACAACAATATTAACATGGCTGAGCCAGTTGAGAACCTGAGCTCTCTTTGAGGCACCTGATATATACTATACATTTATCTCAAGGAAGTATTATGTAACATTTAGTATCATCTGGAATAGTACAATAGCATGGTAGTAATAAGAACATCTCATTATGTTACGACGGTTATCACTTCAATATTTATTTATTTTATTATTTATTATTTTTATTTTTTATTTATTTATTTACTATTTTTATTTTTTATTTATTTATTTATTATTTTTATTTTTTATTTATTTATTTATTTATCTATACATACATACAAACGCACACACACACACACACACACACATATATATATATATATATATATATATATATATATATATATATATATATATATATATATATATATATATATATATATATATATATATATATATATATATATATATATATATATATATATATATGCTGATAACCTGAGAAAGAAGAAACACAGTTTCCCAAGCGCTTTCAATGCAATTCACATCTTCAGGGGTGAGTACAGACTAGTCTGTATATATATATATATATATATATATATATATATATATATATATATATATATATATATATATATATATATATATATATATATATATATATATATATATACATATAATTAAAGTGGAATTTAAAAACATACGTATAATGGGGGAGCAGTACAACCTGGGTTGTACAGTAATAAGGTTGAACAAGAGGACAGAGCTTTCAGGATTATGTCTAGTTGACAATTATGTTTATTGCAATGGTAATTACTTATTTATTTACATGATAATTTCCGATAAAACGGATTTGGTGGTACAATAAATATCGTAAGTGTTACAAGAAGTATTAATACTTCGACAATAGATATTTTTTTAGAAATGATTTAAAGGAAGGGAGCGTAGTCTTTGCTCGGATGTGTGGGGGTAAGTTGTTCCACACCACACCATGATATTTTATGGAGGTCTGGGACTGAGAGGAGCGAATGGGGGGTGGTCTTAGTAGCTCTGGGTGCCTTTAGTTGTATCTCTGATTATTCCGGAACGGGAAGTAATTATTGTCAAGCAAGTGATTGATAGATTTGTAAACAAAGAGGGCACAGCAGTAAGTGTTAATATCCTCGAATGGTAAAAATTTCAATAAAGCAAATTTTTCGTTTGTGGGATCTGTTTTTCAAGTAGGTCATTGTCCGTACAACTCTCTTTTGTGCAGTAACCAGATATTGTGTTTTTGAAGAGCCAGAGGCCCCGCCATAGTGTGCGACAGTGTATCAGGTGTTGGTAAACAAGATCATGATAGATTTCTTTCATTGCTGTAAGAGTGAGTGACTGTCGAGTGTGATACATGATACCTCACTGTTTATTGATTTTACTGTGAATGGCTTGTACGTGGATTCTCCAGTTAAGTTTCTCATCAACAATAACTCCGAGGAATTTAGTATTTTGTTCGCGTTTGAGGACTATATTACCAAGGTACAGGGGGTCCAAGTCAGGAGGTAAGTTTTTTCTTCTGTGAAAGATCGTGTAGTGGGTTTTCTCAAGGTTTAAGGTCAGTTTATTACGTATTACCCAGGTCCCGACTTTAGTTAATTCAGTGTTCATAGTTCTCATCAAGGAATGGAGGTCTGAGTTGCAAGTCACTACTATCTCACTTAATTTGTTTTCTTCACTCTATCTGAATAGAGTCGGTGCCTTGGGTATCATGTTTAACTTTTCGTTGGTGAAAACTGTTGAAACATATTTATTCAGATTATTGCTCATTTCCTCGTCTTTATCAGTTAGCTCGCCGGTGTCTGACCGTATTGGTCCAATCTTTTCTCGTGTTTTAGTTTGATACATTTGGTAGAATCCTTTGGGGTTTTTCTTCGCCTCCCTTGCTATCTTTACCTCATTATTCCTCTTAGCTTTCGTTATCTCGGTCTTGACCCTACTCACCAATACCTTATAATAATCCCTGGGATAAATTTCGCCACGATTCATCCTTCTACCTATAGCCTTCCTTTGGCCAATAATGTTCTTTAAATAATTATTTATCCATTCAGGGTCATTGTTGTCTGATCTGAGTATTATGTATGGTATGTTCTGCCTTTGTGCATTTAAAGTGTCGTGGAGCTCGGCAATCTCAGATCTCGTTATCAGGTAGGTTTCAACTGTCAGGTTCACCCTCAAGCACGACACCCCTTCGCTCAACTGCCTCTTCATACTATTAAAGTTTGCCCTTCTGAAATCTGGGACTTTTGTGGAATTTTCCTTACGTCTGCCCTGAAAATATAACTGGAATCTAATTTCTTTGTGATCGCTGTTTGCAAGCTTGTTCCCTACCTCGACGTTGCTAATGAGGTTTTCTCTGTTCGACAGAACTAAATCGAGTATATTATTACCCTGGGTGGGTTCGGTTATTTGTTGACTTAGGAAACAGTCCTGGATCGTCTCGAGAAAATCCTCTGATTCTGAGTTACCCGTAAGGTCAGTCCAATCTATTTGGCCAAGGTTAAAGTCGCCTACTATACAGACTTTGTTGTGTATGGAAGCCCTGCGCATTTCATCCCAGATAAGTCGCTCATTAACTCTATCAAGATTGGGAGGTCTATATATTACTCCTGTGATTAATTTTCCCTACCGTCGATTAATTCTATCCAAATTGTTTCTGTATTCCGCTCAGTTTTTGTTTCCATATTTATTTCACACTTCACATTATCCCTGACATAGATTGCTACTCTACCTCCTTTCCTGGTCTGCCTGTGGGTATGGAACAATTTGTAACCCGCAATTTAGTATTCGACAGGTAACTCACGTGAGTCTCGGTTGATGCATGTTTCAGTGAATGCTATTATATCGATTTTTTCGGTACATACCAAGGCCCTAATATCATCCATTTTGTTTCTCATACTTCTACTGTTTGCATAGTAGACATTTAAGTTAGTCGTGTTCCGAGTTCTCCGTTTACCGCGTTTAGGTTTAAACTCCCTGTCTAATTTAGTTTTGTCATCATTCCTAACACTGTTTCCCTGTAATCTTTCACTTTGTGTAAATGAAGCAGAAAGTCCGATGAGCAACCTTGGACTTGGTCACAATATTAGTGATGCCATGAGGCAGAAGCGTCTACCATTAGACAACACATTATGCTTCAAATATTTTTGCAGGTGGTAGTACCTCGCTGCTTGATAGCTGCTTACTACCTACAACCTTAAAACGACATAGATATAAACGTTGACAGCAAAATGAGTAAATTTGTTGACGACACAAAAATAGGGTGTGTAATTAAATCTGACGAGGACTCGGCAAAACTACAGGAAGATCTAAAAAAAAATTCGCATGGTCTGAAAAATGGCAGCTGCAACTGGCTTTTCAGTAGGTCCGCTGTCAGCGAGGTTTAATTCCGTGAGTGAATACAGCATACCCAGCAAGTGGCTCAGTCTTAGTAATTTCCGACATAACTTGAAATAGCTTTTTACTCTCGTTTACTTTTACAGTTACTCCTTGCTCTTTAGCCGTTCTCTGTTATTATGACTTCACTTCCGTTTAAGATCTGTATAACCTGGTCGTAGTATTCTGGCATTACAATGAGGAAGAATTTGCTGGCATTTGGGTGATACCCTATTTGTGGACCACGTGATGTTACCAGGTCCTATCACTCTACCTGCTCTTGTAAGGTCATCAACGTTTGCTACTTGTTTGACCTAGGTTGTGGCATAATTATTTGTTATATGTTGCAACACAGATAGGCCAAATGCATACATTGCCATTGCAACTTCCATTATACATAGTATAACATTAACTCATCTCAGCACTTCACTCACCCCTATAGGTATACATTCTAGGATTTTGCTCAAGGGCTGGCCGTCAAATCTTGTAGGTTTTAACAGCAGGAGGTTATCAGCTTTCTTGAGAAGGCGGCAATAGTTCGAAGTGGTTATTTGTTGCATCGCCCAACTTGTTACTACAAAGAATGACTTTCCAACAACTGGTATCCAGGCCTGATGTTCCCTCCCTCCATGGGTCTTCAGTGGTTTTTTTTCACACATCATCTCTCCATTTATTTTCTCTAACAGAACTGCATGTGGCGGGATATATTACCATGGAACCTGATGCCTTTCTTTTCACTTGCAGGAGGGTGTTTATCCTTCAGAGGCTGTATGGTCTGTGTTTATCGGCAGCACGTCCAACCAGAGGTCACTTTTCCAGAGGCATCTGGTTATCAAACTCCCCGGCCGCATCACTGGAGCCTTGCCTTCTGTCTCCTTTAAATGCGCACATTCACAGATAGAGGGGGACTGCTTATTTAGCATCCTTTGTCTGGTTATTATAGCAAGAGTAGTTCTGCTCATTTTTCTAATTTTACTATGATGGAATCAAACGGTGGTGTCACATTTCACAAAACACTCCAGCCACTGTACATGTTATAAATGGAGGCAACTGTATATCTCCTCTGGTGCAGAGTCTCTTACCTTTTCGATTTTTGTTTGAGTGGACTAGCTTTTAACGTTCAAGGTGACGTTTGCCGTTGTTGTCTGGGTAGTGTCAATTACTACTATTACTACTCATACTTTTTTATAAAAAATGGCCTCCAGCCTTCTCCAATAGCCACACCTTCGCCACCATTTTATTACCTTAATATTAAATATCCTAATACATAGGTAGCTATCCTAGCTGTGTTGAGTTAGTTGAGCCGCAGGTCTATGCAGCATTCAGTGACTGTTGCCTCATAGTCAATATCTGCAACTGTTGTCGGCTTTGGGGCCGATGCTCTCGTTCCCCTGAGGCAGAGCAAAGCAGACCTAAGGAGAGAGAAGGACAGTCGACATCTCATCCAGGCTGTGACATAACTTCTGGGCTGTTGCTTCTGTTCGGATAGCACCTCCGCGAGTCTGGCGTAGAAACATCTTGCACTTGGTCCCATCTCACAAGAGGTTGTGAACACTAGAGGAGTGAAGCTGCCTTGATCAACGTTCTGAATTCTCTCCCCGTATTCCCTTATCTTGTCGTTCACGTTCCTCCTGTGTGCAGCATCGAGAGCTAAGTTACAATGACATGCTGCCATGGGATCAAAAATCCTGATGTCGAAGAAGGCTCGCTGTCCCGGCGTCCAGAATCCTCGAGCACTGACGTCATCACGGGCTTCGTTGGATGTGTTTAAAGTCCAATGTTAGAAATTCTCACAGTCCAATGGAAGGAGGGTCGGTTCTACCCTAACATCACGACAGATTTCCTTCAACGTATATGCTGTGAGATCCCTTACTTTGTCATGCCTCATGTATATGAAGCCCCCTTTCTTACACACCATGGCGTGATCGACGTCATGGGAAGAGCCACACACGCATTAGGAGGGCAAACCTTCTACTGGCCAACCGTACCTTAGAACAATGGCATCTATAAATTCTTGTTTATTGAGACTGAAACCATTTGCCCTTATCGGTAACATAGTTAACCAGTCCGAGGCGCCCACCTCCTGCTCTATAACTACTTTTTTTTCAAATTCTCTGGTACTTGCAGCATCAATTGCTGCAACTTATCACTTTGGCCATGCTGTAGTTCCGTCGTAATGGACCGTCGAATCTTGTTTACTTCACCTCACCTGTTGCGTTCTGAGCTATTATGTGGTCAGTGAGGGCTGCCGTGAGCTTAACTGAGTTCGGTGGCAGCAATCTCCTCTGGATTGGTCATTCCCATTCCTTCCAGTCTCGGTGGTAGTGCAAGGAGTGATCTTCCTGCTGGGGTTAAATACTACTACTACAACTTCCATTTTTTTTATAGTGGCCTCCAGCCACCCCCAATAGCCACACCTTCGCCACCATTTAATTACCTTTACTTCCATTACTACGACTATTACTATTACCATTACTACTACTATTTTTTTATATAACATGGCCTCCAACCTCCCCTTATAGCCATACCTTTACCACTTTTTTATTACCTTAATATTAAATATCCCAATACAAAATTGACTACCCTAGCTGAGTTAGTTAAGTCGCAGATCTATGCAGCATTCAGTGACTGTTGCCTCATAAACAATATCTGCGACCGTTGTCGGCTTTGGGACCGTTGATTTCGTCCCCGTGGAGCAAAGCAATGCAGACCTAAGTAGAGAGGAGGACAGTCGACATCTCAACCAGGCTGCAACATAGCTTTTGAGCTGCTGCTTCTGTTCAGAAAACACCTCGGCCAATCTTGCATAGAAACATCATGCACTTGGTCCCATCCCGCTGGATGTTGTGTACACCAGAGGAGTGAAGCTGCCTTGATCCACATTCTGAATTCTCTCGGCTTTCCCTCTGTTCTTGTTGTTCTCGTTCCTCATGTGTGTAGCCTCGAGAGACCGGTTATGGTGAAATGCGGTCATGGGGTCGAATATCCTGATGTCAAAGAAGGCTCACTGTTCCCGTGTCCAGAAACATCGAGCACTGATGTCCACACCGGCTTTGTTGGATGTGTTGGAGGTCCTGTGATGGAGTTTCTCACCGTCCAATGGAGGGAGGGTCGGTTCCACGTTGGCATCATGGCAGATTTCCTTCAACATATTCACTGTGAGATCCCTTACTTCGTCATGCCTCATGCATACAAAGTCCCCTTCTTACACACCATAACGTGGACGATGTCGTAGATGAGTCACACACGTATTGGATGGGTATACCTTCTACTGACCAACCATACCTATTATCACTACTACTCCGAGTACAACTACTACTACTACTACTACTACTAAAGACCATTAACCACTTTAGCCACCGTACTTGCCACTTACCTGAGTGGAGGGAGGCAGAGGGTCATGGGTCATGAGTTGAGCGATGCAGGGTCTGGTGGGGTCGTTCCCCAGGACCCACATCTTCTTCAGTGTGCCATGGGGGAGGAGAGAGAAGGCCGCCTCAGCTGCCGGGGCCACGTCAGGGTGTACCACGGCCCATCGCGCCTCACTCACATTCAACACGTGCACCAGCTCCTCTGATGAAGGTACGCCATGTGATTCTGTGTCTCTCTATCGCATTATCTCTCTCTTTATCTCCATCACTCTGTCTCTCATAATATCTAGCAGTAATGGCCTCACCACACACTCCACTCAGGGCCTCACCACACTCCACTCAGGGCCTCACCATACACACCCCACTCAGGGCCTCACCACACACTCCACTCAGGGCCTCACCACACATTCGGGGCCTCACCACACACTCCACTCAGGGTCTCACCAC